ACATGTAAAAAGCTCTGCCAAGACAAACCCAAATGGTTACATAGCATACAAAACAAAGATGCCAAAGATACCCACGCTCCGTCCAAACCACACAGGCTTGGCGGCAGCTTGATAACCACTTTGAACTACAAATAATGCACAGACGACTATAACAACATAAGTAGGACACTGCAAATGTCATCACCTATGTTGTCACTGACAGATAACCTAATCCTCTTCTATTGCCAGGAGAATAGAGCGTGTGAAGTCCTTTCTCCTCGACAAGAGGGCCGACAAGTACACAGCAAGCTCTCAGACAGCTGGCTGACAAGCAGACCGGTCCCAAAGGAGATGCCCGTTCTGGTGACCGGCTCACTGGACTATACGAGATATTTGTGTCTGTCATTGTCTTTGTCTGTGTCCTGGGGAGAATATGTGTGCGTCGACTATACAAGCAGAAAGCAACTGTGTGGTTTAAACCCGTTGACAGTGTGTTGCTGCTTCATACGCGACCCTGGCCCAACAGGTGTGACTTCTGTCTGCAGCCAGGACATATAGTGATGGGCTATGTGGTCCACTCCTATGAAGAGGCTTTCCACATTCATTGTATGTACAGGATGTATACCGTTTTTATTCATTTATAAAAGGTGAAGAAAGTTAGATATGTTCTTCCCTGATTTATATGAATGAATGAGGGTCAAGACTTTACAATTTATAATTATTACAGTACCGTAGCAGACCTAGTATACAGTATAGATAATGTAATGCACGGTTTCCCAAAATGGTGGCACAACCCAATGTATCACACGATACATGTTATGGGCGGAGATGTGGATTTGTTTGTCGGTCCACAACAAGCTGCGACATCCGAGTGCCTGGACAATAAAGCCAATGCAAAAGTGCCACAGACTTGCAATCTCTTTAATATCAAGGGGAGCCTCGACAGGTTGCAATAAGAAGTCCAGTTGTATAAAAGTCCTAGAGAGAATTACCATACTTATTACTTGATTTAATATCTCAGAAAACCTTTCCCCTTCAATACAGCTTGATGTAATTTTGGTCTTGTTTAGAGTAAATAAAGAGGAAGAAGCAGGATAGGGCCTTATCAGGCTTTAGGGCCGGTCACATTATGATGGACAGGCTGCTACCATGGCATATTCCAGTCTGGGTGCTTTCTTTTTTCTTCTTAAAACATTCAGCTTTTCTCCACGGGTTTTCAGTTTGTGAGAGTTAGTCGTGACATTTTATTCTTCTAACATTTTTTATATTCAGTGTATTTTGATTAACCCTTTAATGTCACTTGTGCTTGCAAAAACCCAGGGTGGTGACATCCAAAATGTTGAATACAGGGCTTACAGAACCATTGCATATCAGTTGTGGAAGCCATGGTAACAATGTCCTTATGGTCCAGACCTAAATATCTCAACAACCACTAAATGGATGGCATACCATTTGATAGGCATACTAATGGTTACCAGAGGATGAATCAAATGGTGATTCCTCACGTTCCCCCCAGCATGATGCAATCACTTCTTTTTTAAATGAGTGCCCAATACTTTAGTGTACGACCAAATTCTGCAAAAACAAATGGCATTCCCATCAGCCTATCCATACTGTGCCAAATGTTTAAAAGGAGAACATGTTAACTAATCAACTAAACCAGCTTAACATCATCATGCTAGCACTGTTATTGTGAGCATAGCACGTTGATGTTAGCATGTAACAAACCACATGCTGTAGGTGCCTGTGTTGCTGGTATAGCGAACCATAGGCCAAATAGATAAGATTTGATGAGGAGAAATCACAGCCTTGAACTTTATATTTCTGGGAGATGAGCGTTTAACAATGTGCCATCAAAATCCCAGCAGCTTAGCTATGTTTAAAAACATCAAGAAAACTTTTGTCATGCTGACAGACCAACCCAGTCTCACGGCATTTTGTGTTATTAGTCACAAAATTAATTTAATCTATTGATTCGTGTTCACTAACACGATTTTCACCTTTTTTTCGTGTCACACAGAATGATTTTAAATGCAATGTATTTCTATTGGTAGTATGTTTCGTGCCTGCAACACGTCTTTTTGTCCGGTCGGGTCTTGGAAGACCAGAAGCAGTTGTGGTTCATAAAAACATGTTCTTACTCAATATCTGACCCTAAGCCTAACCCTATCCCTTTTATTTTAAATTGTATAATGTCTGAGTTTTTTTGCCGTCAGTGAGGAAAAGAAATGGCTCAGAGCCTCAGAATACTGAAATCTGTATTTTATGTCATCTTTTTTTCCTTCTAATTTGTTATTATTTGGTGCAGGCACGAAACATACTACCAATATAAATACATTGCTTCTAAAATCGTTCTGTGTCAGAATACTTAAATCTGTATTTTTTTAAATGTCTTTTTCCTTCTAATTTGTTATTATTTACATTGCTTTTAAAATCGTTCTGTGTGACACGAAAAAAATGGCAAAATCGTGTTGGTGAACACGAATCAATAGATTAATTTCGTGACTATAACACGAAATGCCGTGAGACTGTGTTGGACAGACTGCCATGGCATTAACACACCTGAGGTGGACACCTGCTCGTAAACCACTATGATGCACTGCAACGCCATGAATGTAAAATCCTACACCTAGAATTACAACTTTAAAAGTAAACGTGTAGATAAAAATAGCTGCAAATTAGCAATTCATTTGGAAACACTCACCTGGTGCCCCGCTGCGCCGGATCATGCACTAAACATGTTGTGTAGTTGTGAGTATCAAAATGCCCGCTGAATATCCTGTTTTATTGTGAAAAATCCAAATAAATTCCAAGGTCTCTGCTGACTTCCTTGCATATAGTTCAACACTCACAGGTCAGCTATCCTGCATTACAAGTAGCTAGTGAGTATATGCCATTACAATTTCCCAATATAAGATATTCAAGATTAACATCTACTTATTATCATATGAAAAAAAAAAACTAAGAACATACATTTGAGAATGTATGTACTCTGCATTAACACAATTAATGTCTGAGTTATCATATTTTTTGTTTTGTTTAAACATGAACCCCCCAACAAGGGTAGGCCTATCTGTATATCTTCTGATAACAGGCATAAAAGCTACATTTTGCTTCCACATTGTAAATGAAATTGGAATAAGACAAAGCCATATTCTGATTTTACAAATGGTCTAAGTTTTATAAAATGGAAATATCAGACATGATGACCATAAGATCCTCTGCGTGAGACTTGCTTCTCCTCCCCAAATCAAGGAATTCATAAACAGACTTATCATGGGACACTTATGCAGTAGAGCCATACACGTGTATGTCCCAGATACCAAAATCCATTTCCTGCAGAAAAGGGTGACTTCTGAAAGCTAAAATAAATTGCAACGCATTGCTTAAAATGCAGAATTGTGAAATGACTAAGTAACTGTTGATCCAAGATACATTACGGCACTGCTGGAAACCAAAACCTATAAACTGAAATGAAAAACGAGTTGAAAGCTGTACTGCATGACCTACACATGCTCAGATCTTAAAGGGGACCTATCATGCAAAATGCACTTTTGTACGTCTTTTATACATGAATATGTGTCCCCGGTGTTCCAGGGAACTCACCAAGTGTCAGAAAACACAACCCTCTCTATTTTCCTCCATACCCAAATCTCTAAAAAAGGGGCTGCAACGGATCTGATAAAAACTGATCCAGATTTGAACACTGTCCTGACGTCAGGACAGTGGCGCTACGACTATTGGGCCAACTCCACCAATCAGGAGGAGACAGCCGGCCATTGCCGTTCGAAAGCGCTGGAGACGCTGTAGTACATATGCCAGGCCAGTAGATGGTGCTGTTCTCACTGAATCTGCCCAGAGCTAGAAATTGTCAAATTGAGCAAAATGAGGCATGGCTAAAATGCATGATCTGTTTGGTATTTTGAAAAAAAAAAAAAGTATAAATATGCCTTATATAGGTATGGTCCTACACTATATTATTCAAATATAGCATGATAGGTCCACTTTAAATAAATTGCTATAAAAAAGCTAGAAACAAAATTGTTACACTGAGAGCAGTAGTAGTAGGTATAGTATTAGTAGTATAGTAGTAATTAATCAAAAAAGGACTCATAATTGGACATTAATCCTGTAAACAGATAGACATGTATGGCCTAGAATAGATACCAATAAATAAAAGCACTATGAATGTGAACACATCATGTTATCACCCTTTGCTCAAGTACTCCAAGCTGCTTTAATTTCAGAAAAGAGCTAATTGCAATTAAGATGCATGGGGTGTTGAGCTGAGAAGTAAAAGGAAGTAATCAGCGTTGATTATAGAGCCTGAGTCTGATCAGAGTAAATCATACACTGTACGGCTCTCTCCGCCCTCCTGCATCTGAATCAGTCATTGAACGGGAACAGAGCCTGTTCTTAGTGTGATTACGTCCACGGCAGCACTGACTCCAGCTCTCAGGTTGAAAGGCTTATGATCCATGTGACACAGTGTGGTCGACCTAATCATGTCCTGCCCAGAGAATCACATAAAGAGGTGTTGTGGATCAAAAGTAAAACTTTCTCATACAGCTGCCAGCCTGAATTTAATGGCTTCCAGTTGCTGTAATTTCATAATCTGGATTGTTTTCCTAAAACTGCTCATTATAGTTGAAGTTGTGCTGCTGTATATCAAGCTTAATTCATGTATGTAAACACATCTGCTGTTAATAGGGACAGTTTTCTGCATTTAGCTGGCTCAATCTGTCTTTTGGGGATTGCTGAAATCGAGAAAAGTGTGCAGTAAATGTATCTTGTGTTATTCTGATAAAACTGTTCCCCACTTTGTAATAATGTGAAATTATCCAATAAGAACTACACGAAATACATAAACCTGTGTGACGTAGAAGCAGCATAGTGAAATGCAAAAGTGAAAATAAAAAAAGCAACATTTAAAAACTACCTCACTTGCCTGACTTGATTGGCTAACCAACACTGTCACCTAGTGGTTAATAAATGCAAACATAATTTCAAAAGATCTGTTGGTCATTTCAAGAGGAATGTTTATTCAAATGTAATCGCAAATGTAATTTTACTTTACAAAAATATACCATAATTGGTTGTTTTTCAATAAATAGAATACATCAACGCAACACAATTAACTTTATCGTTCAAATCAGTAATTACTTCAGATCATCAGTACCCCTCAATATCTTCATACAACAAACTTACAAGCGTTTTAAAATATAAAAAAGAGAATTCATAAGAAATCCTCTTTGACAAGTGCTCATGATAGTTAACATTTATATTACAGCAGAGTTCATTGTGTACTTTTTCTGTGCTTGACTTGAGAGAAAGCAGAGGAAATACATGCAAAGGGGGTAAAGACCCTGGGCATAAACAAAGCTGTCATGCTCATTTCAAGCAGGTTAATGGGTTTTAGCACCCGGCAGCACAAGTTAATGCAAGCGTGTGAGTTTTAAAAAAAAGCCAGTGTTCATGTAAAGGCACCTCCAACAATACAATGATGCTCACTCTAACTGAGCGCAGCCCAACACCAATAGACGGTAATTAAAAACAGATACAAAACAACATGTTTAGTAATGCACTCTGTTGTTGTTGTCTCAATCGAAGAGGTCGGGGTGGTTCTCATGGCAGTACTCTTCAAAGCTGAAGTCCTCCACAATGAAAGGGATATCCTTCCACTTTTTCAAAGTGAGCCTGTCGCCATTGGGGGTATCCAGGGCTAAATTCTTAATGCTTAGATTTGGCAGCAGGGCATGTACTTTGTATTTCATCTCATATCCCCAGTCCTGTGAATTCAAAGAATATAAATCACACCACAAAACGATCCAAAAGCTCTGACGAACTTCGTTGAGCATGGTAATCTTTTCTGAGTTCAAAAGTAATATTTGGTAGAAAGCCTTTACCTTGTCGCATTTTCTGCAACAGATCTTACACCCAGGCTCCCAGTCCTCAAAACTCTTTTCCAGCATCACCTGCCCACCGACTTTGTAGTTTTTCCTGAGAACAAAGATGAGCCATGATAAGAGCAGTAAAGACAAAATAATTTGGCCTTTAATTTTTTTTGCATAAACTCTTAAAGGTCCCCTATTATACTCTTTTTCATAAATATATTATAGGTCTCAGATATATACAAAACATGTCTCTGAAGTGTTTGGGTCCAAACACCAAACAGATCATTGCAGCATCCCATAATCCCCTCTGTTTCAGCCCAGTTTCAAAAGTGCTGATTCTGGGTCTGTTATGGCGCATTTCCACCATGGCGCGGAGCGCGGTTTAAGCGTGCTGTGTCGTGCCGGGCCCGTTTTTGGTTGCGTTTCCACTAGGCCTAGTTCCGGCCCGGGGCTACTTTTTCACCTTTTTTCTGGCCCGACAAAATCGTGGTTCTATCGGGGCCAACAAACAGGGCTGAGTCGGGCTGTGTATGCTAAACTAGAGAGAGAATCGCTGGCAAGGGGGCTACAACTACAACAAGATGAACATATTTGACCGTGATTTAATTGTAATACACGTTTCAAAATGATGCCGAAGTAACAACATACTGATACCGGTTAGTAAAAACCATGAATTAATGCTTTGACAAGTCTGCAGACAGACGGCAGGCAAAAAACCTTTTAAAATGCGTGTTTTCTAAATGGAGATCGGCTAAGCTAACGCAAAATATGCTCCGACCGTCCACACTCACAACAACGGCCTATACAGACATAAATAAACCAGCGACTGTATTCTCCATGACACAGGCAGTCTGTGGTTTGTACTTGTTTAACTTTTGTCTAGTTTCTGAACAGATATGAGGAGCTGTGAGCTTGAGTGCTAACAGCTAACGGCTGATGTTGTTTTTCTGGGGTGCTCATTGAAGATGACGTCACGGCTCCGCCTACACTGCGTTACTATAGATACTACCCCAGTTCCTAAACTGTAATGGAAGCGCAGCATAAAGTGAGCCAGTCCTAACAAGGCATAACGAGGCCTAGCCATACCGAGCGAGGCCGAGCGAGGCTGTGTAGTGGAAATGCGCCATTACTTTAGATGAAAATAAGGAGCCACTCCCCACGCCCCTCTGAGAGATATTTGGTTAAAAAGAACACAATGGTGCTCTAGGAGGAGATTCAGGTGATAGGGTGGGGGTGGGGGGGTTACCTTGGTTGGTTATTGGCTAATTGTTACACAAGCCAAAAGAACGTTATGACATCATAAAGTGGCCAAAATCTGATCAGCTCATTTTCAGACAGGTTTTTATATAAATGGATCAGGACAAAAAGTGAGCAATTTTCTTCTGACACTTTCAGAATCTCTTTACACAGAGAGGACACATGTTTATGTATAAAAGACATGAAAAAGTGGATTTTGCATAATAGGTGACCTTTAAAACGGCAAAGAATTCAACTCACTCAAAGTCAGGGTTGACGTTGACATAGTGCACACCATCCAGGAGTCTCAGGTCACTGCCAGGGGCCACAGAGGTGAAGCAGCTTCGACACACCAGGTTGACACTAGCAGCAGGGTAGCGACTCCTCTTCTCCATTTTGAGTTTCTCATCAAGACTCCTTTGAATAGCTGCCTCCCTTTGCAGTGCAGCTATCTGGAGACATAGAATATTTCATAGGTGATGGAACAATCACAAAGCAGCGTGATTAAATGATGGAGATGGACAGAGAGCCACACCCTCACCTTTTTGGAGAACTCTCGGGGGCTCATCTCTTGGACCTTAGCAATAGCTTTTTCTGTCAGCTCTTTCAGATGATCATTGATGTGCTCTCGCCTCACTTCCTTCCCCCCTCTCTGGGCGACCACTGAATACCGGCTGTCTTTTGCTCGGGCGCGTCCGCTGGCCTGCTGCTGGGCAATCTCATTTGTAAGCAGTCCGTAGCGTACCACCAGGTTGCATTCAGGGATGTCGAGGCCTTCTTCAGCCACACTGGTGGAGACCAGGAGGTTGACAGCACCTTGGCGGAAATTGCGGATTGTTTCTGACTGCTCGTTCTGCAAGGAAAGCATGTAAGGACGACTTGGTCAGATAAAACAGAAACACATCTATGGATGAGTTGTAACTGAATTGAAATGACTTTAAAGATCTCCTATCATGCTATTTTTAGGCATATATTATGGGTCTCAGATATATAAAAATATGTAAAAAACATGTCTATCATGTGTTATGCTCAAAATACCAAACAGATCATGCATTTTAGACATCCCTCATATCCCTCTATTTCAGCCCTGTTAGAGAAGTGCTGATTCTGGGTCCTTAGCTTGAAAGAAAAAAAGAGCGGAGAGGGAGCTTGTGCCTGCTCAGAATTCTACGAGATACAGCTAAATGCTGCCCTGATTAAATGCCATATCATGTTCCAAACCACATCAAGGGTTATTTCTGAAACAGCATGGAGCTCAAATGCTTTTCACTTGCGGGTTTACCACAAGGTGAGTTCCTTTATTTATTTCCTGCTTTTTTACACATACTGTCTCCAGTACAGGTTAGCTCTGAGTGTTAGCGATGCTTGCTAATGTAAACACAAACCATATTACGTCCAAAACACGTCGCGCATTGTTTCTGATAGCGACGTTTCTGATAGGGCCGTGGGTGTAAAGCCAGCCCACATTTCCGATATTACGTCATATCGGACGCAAATCTGGATCAGCTCCGTTGTAGCCCCGTTTTTAGAGATTTGGGTACGGAGGAAAAGAGAGAGGGTTTTGTTTTCTGACACTTTGTGAGTTCCCACACCAGGGACACATATTTATGTATAAAGGACATTAAAAAGTGCATTTTGCATGATAGGAGACCTTTAAGCTCACAGATTGAATATAAACACACCAATGTCATGTAAGAGATACCGTTGCCAGCTCCAGTGAGGATGGCTGGCTTGATACCCGCTTCCTTTAACTCTATATCGTTGAGGACCCAGTCGTTCAGGCAGTGGGTGCTTTTACGGGTTTTGCTGAAAATGATCCCCTTCGAATTCTCACTTGGAACAAACTGTTCTAGCAGAGTGCTTTTTAGTTTGTCCATCTTTGGGTTGCCATAGCGAGAATCTTTTGCCAATATCTCCAGCTCCGCCTGATTCTCTGTTAAAAATGACAGTAATATTAATCAATGCTAGAATATGATGAGTTTGCTATAATAAAAAGAGATATGTATACAAATAGACACTAAACTAAAATGTTTGTGTTCCTACCTTGGAAAAGCCCCACCAGGAAGACGTCTGTTCCATCAATTTCTCTGGTTATCTTGTTGCTGTAGAAGTCCTCCAGGGAGAGATAGGCATCTATCATCCGCAGCGTGTCGTTGATGAGCAAGGCATCGTTGTACTGTCGGAGGTGAAGTGCACATTGTGCTAGCTGTCTGTCGTCCTTTTTGACTCCTGATAAGATAAGATAAGACTTTATTTATCCCGAAGGAAATTGACACAATAAACACAACAGCAAAACTGTACACTAAAAGTGCAGTAAAAAGAGCAATTAAACATCTACAGAAAACATGAAACATAGGTCACACAATCAATGCAATTATTAGCAGTATTTAGTAGTGCAAAAAATAAAACGTAGTGGCAGTTACATAATTGCACATTATCATAGCATATTATTAATAATACTAATATTAATATTGCACATGTTATATAGCAGCGAGTGTATTGTAATGATGGTAATTATATTTATATTGCACATAGTGTTGGTGTGGAAGTGATGCAACATAGTGTTGGTGTGGAAGTGATGCAAATGTAAACAAATGATGTACAAGCGTCAACAGTAGACTTTTGTTTTACATTTAATCAAATATGTTCTCCTTGCCATCACAAGTGATGACTACATTCAAGTAAAGAAGTTGACAAAAGAAACGTACCGTTCTTCTCGAGTTCCACCACATCTGCCTCATACTCTTGAGTGCCACACTGTCTCAGTCTGAAGCTTGGAGGAATGTTCATGAACTCATGGATCATCAGCATCATGGACTTCAGTTGATCCCCGAACGGATCCTAAAGGAAAAAAGTATTGTTTTTAGTTTACTTAGAACTTGTATGGGATTTTAACATCTCTTAAATAGTTTTGAAGTTTTCTTTTTTTAAATAAACGACAATTGAGATATAAATGAATGTCCCCAGGTCAGGTCAGTTGGGGTGTGAAGTAATTATCAGGGTGCAATGCATTACCGTCTGCAACAGCATATGTTTTTAAATAAAGCCTTTTCAAATATAAAAGAAAATAGGTTTCAATGTTTTAAAAGATGAGGAACTAGCGCAATTATTTTAAAGCTGCGACATTGAACGTGCATGTATCCATCCACATATCACCAATCACACCACAAACCCAACTATCACTTGACCTCGTTGCCAAATGTCTGCCTCCTAGTTCAACACAGTTGCTGCCAAATTGTGGGGACAAATGTTTTCACCAGAGCAGGCTATAGAGCTGCAGATGGCAGCTAAAAAAAAATCAGGTTTACCTCAGGTCTTGCGTCCACAATGTCGAACTGCTTGATGGGCCTGGGGACTTTCTCTTTCAGCTCAGCGACAGCGTTTTTAGTTGAAACTATGGCTGAGTCAAGGTTGGCACAAATCTGTAAGAGAGAGAAAGGAACTCATGAAGAAGAGACTAATGGGAGATCAGACAGTCCCGCTCATGCTGTGCGAAATTTGGTATGCAAATAGGTAAACTCTGACCTGCAGTACGTGCTCCACAGCTTTTTGTAAGTCCTTTGCACCCCCTGTCCCCGGTGATGCAGTGAGACCCAGGATCTGTGGCAATGATTTCTCTCCTTTTAGTTTTTTCTCCAGGTAGATTGTCATCACCTTGTTGTAGACTGCATCTTTGTTGGTGTGGTGACACTCATCGATTATCAGTAGAGTAATATCTGTAAGGAACCATTATTATTATTATCATGGGTACAATCTCTATATGTGATTCTACATAACAGCTCTATAGTCACAGATGTTTACGCTCCCTTTTACTCACCTGAGAGCTCCACATGTTTGTCCTCCTCCTTGTCTATCAGAGCATTATGCAAAATCTGTGCTGTGCAGATGACAACGTCCTTTTCTTGCAACACTTTCCCAAAGAAGTCCTTCTCCACTGTCTCTCCGCTGACCGCCAACACGTTGTAGTCTCGGCCCAGGTGAGGTTTGAACTCATTTTTGTAATGTTGATCTACAAGGTGAACCTACAGTACATTAAAAAAACACAGTATTGAGCAACACTGAATGTAAAACATCATGTCTGTCGTAAACGTGTTTATTTCCTTTTGGTTGTGGGTACCTTGTTCACCAGGACCACCACCTTGGCCCGTGGGGTGGTCTCCAGGTGTTTTTTGGCCACATAGACAGCAGCTCGGGTCTTTCCACCTCCTGTCGGCAGCCAAATGATGATGTTTTCTTTGTGAAGAGCCCTCTCAGCCACTTCCTTCTGGTATGCATACAGTTCAAAACCTGCCATGCTTCACTTTCCTCCTATTAGATCACACGTCAAAAATACACAGAAATAAAATATAATGGTAGAAAAGAAAGACATTAGTTCGTACCAGTACATCAAAGCTGTGATCACAAACACTATAAAGCCTGGCTATATCACAGTTATAGTTAGACAAACATGGGTGCATTCACAGCCTTTTATAGTCCGGTTGAATCTAACCCTGGTGCGTTTAGCCGCTTGGTGTGCGGTTCATTTGGGTCGGTGTGAACACAGTCCGAGACCTCTGAACTAAACAACTGGACTCTGGTCCGCTAAAATAGGTGGTCTCGGACTCGGAACGCTTGCTTGCGAACTCTGGAGCGGTTCATTGCTGGTGTGAACGCAGTCCGCACCAAAACATAGGAAGCGTAGTGTTGAATTATGAAATGTAATATATGAATTTGTTTATTTAATACTCTTATACTAATCACTTCCTGTATTCCCGTGATAAAAGGGACATGCGCAATAAAACGTGTCACTTCCGGTTGAAGCAAAGCTGATGGTGTGTGTATTTATTCCTCTGTCACGTTAAACTATGTTCACGGTATTCCTGCCCTAAGATCATGGCATCATTAACAGGTTATGGGCCCAGGAGGGACCATGGAAGCCGGTGGAACCGTTTGTGTTTCGACGGAGATGAGAAGAACTACAAGTTATGGGAGACAACGTTTTTGGGTCACCTGCGACTGAAGGTTGCCATCCTAGAGGAGCCAGGTGAAGAGGATGAGGCTGATGATCAGAAAAACGAAGAAGCCTATGCGGAATTGATCCAGGTACTGGACGATAAAAGCCTTTCACTGATCATGAGAGAAGCAGCGGACAACGGAAGAAAAGCGTTACAAATATTGAGGGACCACTACGCTGGGAAAGGGAAACCACGGGTGATCAGCCTCTACACTGAACTAACGTCGCTGCAGAAAGCCGCTAATGAGAGCGTCACTGACTATATTATTCGTGCCGAAACGGCAATTACAGCACTGAGAAATGCTGAAGAGACTCTTAGCGACGGGCTGCTGATAGCCATGATTTTAAAGGGACTGCCAATCTGTTTTAGGCCGTTTGCCATCCACATTACACAAGGGGATGAGAAGCTAACTTTTGGTGAGTTCAAAACAAAGTTGAGGAGCTATGAAAGCACAGAAAAATACAATGCCAACTTGAGTGAGGAATCTGATAATATTATGAAAGCGAGTGGCTGGGTGAAGTGGAGAGATGGCCCCAATATCACCTGCTACAACTGCGGTCAGAAAGGGCACCGGGCTCGTGAGTGTTGAAGTGCTAGTAGCAGCAACAGCAAAGACCAGAGACAGTGGTGCAGTTTTTGCAAAAATGCCACACATATAGATGCAAACTGCAGACGCAAATAGAGAGACAATGCTAAACAAGCAACTGACGTTGAGGACCACTCATTTGTTTTTAAAGTACGTGACAGTCCAGTAACCGGAGTTACACATAAAGGGCTGATGGTCGACACCGGAGCAACGTCACACACAGTGGCGTTTTTATATGTACAAAAGTGGTGGGGCACAAAAAACTTAGATGATAAGCTTCTGCAGTGACGTGCAGTGAGGTTCATGGCTGGTGAGGCACTGGCACTGACTCTTCAGGTTTACAAATATTCTATTTTGACCTAAATCAAAATATTCTATTTTCAAAAGCTTTTTTTGTCTGATGCTTCGATTAATTTTAAACAGACAGTTCAACAAAAGGATACCCAAAAAATGTAATTTTATCATTTAAATATTGAATTGTTCTCTCTTCGTAAGATCCCATTTTCAATAAAATTGCGGTCTTACCTTGACTTGAAGATGAAGTCCATTTGCCTATCCTTCTGGACAAAAAATTCTATTACTTTTTTGTAAAAGTCCTCCTTATCTTCTTGTAGTTTCAAAAGTCTATCATAAATCTAATCGATAGATTTATGATTAAAAAATTATAAAAGTAGGGTAGACATGTGGATATTATCCGGCTGAACAAAACGTGCATTTATCTAACAGGTACGTTTCCCACAGATCTTATTTCGAGCTATTTTCTAAAATCCTATGGAGAAATCTCATTGCTTTTTTGTCGAGGGAAGCCGTTCTTATTATACATCCATGGGGAAGCCACGCGCAGCTTACTTCCGGGTTTTAGGACGCGTCACTGCAGTTCTCTCGTCTCCTCTTCACACACCACACTTTTCTCGGCACACATACTTACAGCCAATCAGCTCTGAATTATGTGAGATGACGTATGGTGGGGATGGCAGCTCAGTGCCCCTATGGTCATTATTTTTTTGCCACACACATTAAATAGGAAAATACTCTGAGCATGCGCAGTGTTGTTTTTACAGTCACCGTTCACTTAGACAGTGAGAGGGAGGGGCATGATCAGGTTTTGTCCCACATGGCTCTAAACAGCTCAATAGGCACACACTGTAGACACTAATTAGAACACAGACTAAAACAGCAATGTACAGACAAATCAGATGATTAACCATGATCTTAAAATATATTTTATATACTTTTTTATTTATTTTTTGTATTTTTTGTAATCATTATTTGTAATACTTTCTGCTGACACTAGGTGGGGCTGTGCCCCACCTGCCCCTAATGACCAGTCGCCACTGGTCACACATAATAACGAAAATCGACAAGTTTAAAAGGTTCGATGAGACTTTTCAACCGAAAGGCCACTTTGTTGAATTGGCTGACGGGACAAGAACAAGTGGTGTCGCTTTGAAGAAAGGAGAGGCGGAGGTCTGCCTGCAAGACACTGAGGGACGACGAGTGACAGCGACGCTGAAGGACGCGCTCTACATACCGTCCTATCCACAAGACATTTTCTCTGTTAAAGCAGCGACAGCCAACGGAGCATCAGTGAACTTTCGTCAGGGTTGTAACCAGCTGATTCACCAGAGAGGTAAAATATTTGACATCAAGGAATATGATAGACTTTATTTTTTAAACACTGTGGACTGTGAAGCTGAGGACGATGCATGTTATGGATGTTATGACATTCAAACATGGCACGAAATACTTGGTCACTGTAACTATGATGCGTTACCCCCTTAATGTCTGACCAATGGTTGAACAGCATTTCCGTGCACATGACTTGTGTTTAAAATGTATAGTCCGTTTGAGTTTTGCCCGTGTGAACCATAGACTGTATATATAAAGGTGTGAACGCAAACTGAACCTTCTGAAAAATGAAACGAAACAAACTGTGGTCTGGTGCGCACCAGAGAAGCGGACTATTAGGTGTGAATGCACCAGAGACGTGTTAAATTATTGCATTAACTCACCAGTCAGCTGTGTGTAGTTTACGGCTTCTCCTTGTCCACTAACACCACACAGTGTGGGTGTGGGGTTTTAAACTGTGTTCAGGACAGCTGTGTGACGCAGAGATCCGAAAACGAAAGTAAAAGCCCTACTGTATGAACTCAGACAAGAGGGCCTGTTGAGGGAGGCTCTGGAGGAACGACAGATAAAACTCACTATCCAATGACAGAGGAATCCTGACTAAAACTGACATAAAACAGATAAATGACAACTCTGTTTTAAATGCAGCCATGCCTACGTCAATATTGTGGTTGAGTTAATATTGTACTTATGATTGCACATTATGTATTTACTGTATTAGTGGCTCAGCGCTGAGGTGTTTCTGCAGAGTGCTGAACTCCCTGACTGGGCCCTATCTGTTTCTTCATTCCATCAGGAAAACAAAACCTACCGTTGCCTTGTTGTGATGAGGAAATCCCCACAGCTCTTTTACTGGAACTCTTGAAACCGGATCTTCTCTGTCCTTCAGCAACTTTTTGATTTCAGTTGCAAGTCATTGTTTGGAAGGACTTAGTTAAAGTCAATCGTAAATCAAGCAAACATTTGTGATTTGAGTAAAGCTGTAAATGTATCAATATGCAGCATTGAATGTGGCAATACCGCCTTTTTAACTGCAACAAAGTAATACAAATAACATATTGTAAACAGCTTCTAAAGCAACCAGATGCATGCAACTGAACAACAATATTCATATCCTGATCATTTCAGAAGTTCTATACACATAACTATACATACTAAACTGATAGAAAAACAAAAAGGTGTGGGCTTTTTGTTACTGGAAAATGAAACCTAAAGCCTATTGCTGCAGCTTCAAACACAAGTTCAGGAGAAGTACATGTTGGTAGTAATAAGAATATTATACACAGATGAACTATAATGGGCAACTATTTTGCGAGAAATGCAAAAACAAGGTATAAAATATGTTTAAAAAGGGACAAAATTGTATTAAATTAAAGCAGTCTAAAAGGCAGTAATGTAGGACACTAATGAAAATAACTAATAACCCATTTGTGAACAGCCGAGACAATAGAGTTGGATGATTTTGATGAAATGTAATTGTGATAACCTGATGATGCCGATATTGTAGTAGCGAGGAAATTATGATTTTAGCTTTATTATTCAAATTTTAATTGAAGAACTCTAGGCCGGGACATGTCTTTAGCACCACAATCCTTACTTTTCAATATTTTGTCACATCTTTTTGCATCTATTGCTTCTGCCAAGATGTTCGATATTGCACTGGTCCATATTACTTTTGCAATACAATTCTTATTATGACTTTGGCATGCAACACAGTGGTACTATAATTACACATTAAATGACATAGAAGCTGTCTATAGAAATACTAAATGTTATTTTGTCTAATCTGTGAGATTCATTAGATACGGTGGCAGTATCACGAGTCAAAAGCTGTCTTGCAGGTCTTTTACTTTGCCATGTCTAACACCCTGATACATTCTCATTGCAGTACAAGTCAAGTGACTCAAGTCCACGCCCTGTTTATACAAAAACAAACCTTTATTGTCATGAACAGTATTACAGATACAGTAAATGGCATTCATCATAACTACACACGATAGCCATCCTCTAACAGGTGGAAAGTTCACTCAGACTGACCCGTGTAAGGACATCTGAAATGCAGCATAGGTAGATCGTGGGAGGAGTACGCAATAGACAACCCTGAATAATGCAACAGACATCACTTCAGAAACTCAAAGCTAGTCATGATTCAAGTACAAAATAAACACACCCACACAAATCAATGTCACATGAAACATTCAACAACCAGGCTCAACCAGCATAAAAGAAGTGGATGCATCTCAGGAAGCACTCCGTTTGACACTGACCGCCATAACAAACATATCACCGTTTGTAACACTGTTAAAAAAAATAAAAAGAGTTGGATGTTTTTCTATGAATTCAAATGTGTAAACTGTCAACCATGCATCAACACCAACTACAGCTTGTGTGAGGTGTGATAAATAAACCAGTCATCTTCTCCACACAAGGCCACAGTCCATGAGGACTGCTGGTTAGCCCCCCCCCACCACGGTTATGATCTTTTAAACTATCCAGTAAACACGTGGCTGTACACTAAATCCTTAGCATGTGTGTGCAGAAGTAATTGTACTAGAGTCTAGCAACGCAACAAATAAATGACAACTACAGTATCACCTGCAAGCATGGTAAAGCTTTACTAATGTGTGACCTCATCCTGCCAGTGACAAATGGATGTATAAACAGTTTGCATCATAATTACTGTATAAATAAGAATGTCTATGTTGATGTCAACATATGTTGAAGGCAACAATTGGGGAAATTATTTTGTCCAGCACTAAAGTGCTAGAAATAGTTGTCACCCAGTCCATCATCAGCAGTCTCTCACACTACTCCAGTAGGGCTGCACAAACCCTTTCTATTATCCGTTCATCTGTAAGGTTTTTAATTATTTGTTTAGAATAAAGAAGATTTTTTAAATGAATCTAGTGATAGCCTAAATGATAAATAATTTGCTTGTTTCTGACCAACCTTCCAAAGATATCCAGATATTTAAGTACTAACTTTAGTATTTGCACTCCATTAACAACTTTACCAATTGTATTTCATAAATGTTGCATATTACATTTTCAATAATCAACATATCAAGTTGTTTTTAGAATATTTGAGGCCCAAAGGTTTCATCGACTTCACTCCTCATAGAACGTCTATCTGTTTACCCATGAAGATGGCTGGGATGTTCAAGTGTCTGTCAGTAGCGGAAGGCATCGCGGCTTTAGGTCCCGAGGTCCGGTCTTCTGTGAAAGACTTCTACACTACATGTTTCTGCTTGAGTGACGAATTTTAAGCAAATTGGAATGATCCAACGTCAATAAATGCGACAACCAGCTCAAATCATACTATAAATACTCATTGTTATAACTTGGACCTATCACTTTGGTACACTTAATGAAACATGTATATGCAGAGTATTGACTCACTGTGAGTACTAAAACGAGAACATGACAACTTAAAGGGGGGATGGAAATGCCATTTTGACACTTTGTAATGCTTTACTTGATCTGGTGTTACCGAACAACCCTCCTTTATGTTTGTCCATCTATTCCCTTGCAAGATGTCAGTCTTGTACATACCCTTTTAATAACTCATAAGACAACAGCTAGCGTCAATTTGTCGTCATCTTTTGTTGAGAGTTTGGTAAATAACTCTGTGGCCGAGTTCATTTCTCGATCAAGCCTCCGTCTTTTAATTTGAAGTAGAAGAACTTCTCCAAGGTGTTGGCACTCTTGCAGTACTCGCTGTCCGGAGGGTTGTACTCACGACAGTTGGTGATGATTCGCTGCAGGTCGGCAATGAAAAGCTTCTTGGTCACATAGTATCTGTTCTTCAGTCTCTCCGTCATGGTTTTCAGGTCTGTGGGGGGGAAACGGGGAAAAAACATCATCAATGTGAACAATAACAATTTAATGAGGAGCGTATGATATGATCATGGCCTAAACAATAGAATCATGAAGAATTCAAAGGCTGCTGTATAATCCAAACAGATTCTTGCTCACCGATGGGAAAGCGGATGATCTCGTAGTAATCTGGAGCCTCAGATTTTTTCACTGGTTCCATGAAGGGCCAGGCATCAGGATGAGTCTGCTCGGGGAATAAAGACCTGGTAAGTCCATAGCCGGGTTTTCATTAACATATTACTATGCACATTTAGGATTTAAATACAGAAATGCTGTATAAAAAAGGAACAATTGTATACAATTCTGATGGAAGTACGGTTTGCTGAGCCTAGTTTAATTTGATCCTAGCCAGTAGATAGATATTTTTTGCATACTTTTCAAAGTTGGCCTAAAATAAGAGACACAACTACTGTTACTTGTACATGTGTGTGTTCCTGCCAGGTGTCTCCAGGTGACTCTTACCTTAATCTGGGCCAGGAGGTTCTTCAACATGTTGTATAACATGTCAGGGTCCTTCACCTCTTTCCTGTAAAATGTGCAATGATAAGTACAACACTGACCCAACCAAGATAAGACTGTGGAGAAGGAGGAAAACACTTAGGTCTCTAAATGAGTGAATTCTATTTGGGACAAACTGTGGACTTTAAATTGTTTACTGCAAAGTGTAATTGTGACATGGGAACAAAAAGGTAATGCGTGTAAAATGTATGAATTTGTGATGCTTTGGCGCTCCCCAGTGGCAATAACAAAATGGTAAAGTCCACAGCTTCTGAATATTACATCAGCGAGAACCCAAGCATAACCAAAACAAAATTGTTTATATAATTAATGCTAAAGGTTTACCCTTTGTCCTTGTTACTGGGTTTCCATCCGGTCTCTCCTGGAAGAAAGAAACTTGTCAGAAATATGATTACCATTTAAACAATACATTTTTTTATTGTAAGAAAAAACAAAAGACTCACTTATGCCTGGAATGCTCTCCACCGGGATCTGCCGCACGCCTTCTTTGAAGCAGGTGAGACCTGGGTAAACCTTCCTGATCTGGGTCTGTTTTCTCTCAATCAGCTTCTTAATAATCTGTTTGACAAATGAAGATTCATGTGGTTATTATAAGCACATAGATTCAAAGCAGAAACATGATTGAGCTTTAATAAGAGGGTCTCGCATACCTCCTTCTGTCTTTTAATGATATGAGAGAGCTCAGTGTAGGGGATCCTGGGGTTCAGCTCACACTCCATGAGGGTCGCTCCCTCGTAGTCTTTGATGTATCCCAGGTAACGAGTCTTCGGCACTTTGATGTCTTTGGAAAAGCCCTGCGAGGAAAGAGCAAATTACTAAAAAGGAGAAGTTGGAGGGGAAGACGGAGCAGAGCTAATGCAGGTCCTTCCTGCAGTACCTGCTTCTTGAAGTAGCCGATGGCGTACTCGTCGGCGTAGGTGAGGAAATAGAGGATGTTGTGTTTGATGTGGTACTCCTTCAGGTGGTTCATCAGGTGGGTACCGTAGCCCTTACATTAAAAAAAGCACAGGTGAAAATATGTTAATAGTGTGATTTTACACATTACAGAATCTCCGTACTATGTTATACTTTCTATACGCAACTGCTATTGCAT